GGCCCCCCGCCACGCCGCCGGCTTGCGGCCACGCCGGGGCCGCGCGATGCGGCAGCTCTGGCGCTTGATGTGGCGGTGCAGGTGGTCGGAGCGGGTGAAGCTCTTGTAGCAGAACTCGCACTGGTAGGGCCGGATGCCCGTGTGGATGCGCATGTGGTTCTTCAGGTCGTAGTTGTGCACGAACTTGGCGTTGCAGTGGATGCACAGGTACGGCCGCTCCCCCGTGTGCTTCCGCATGTGGATTTTCAGCTTGTCCTGCCTGCAAAAGAAAAGGCGCTTGGTCAGGCGGTGTGGGACGGAAGGGGTGTGGTTGGGATTGCTCTTTTTGGGATTGCCTCCCTGATTGGGATCAGGGGAGGAGGTGATGGGAATGTGCGGAGCTCATCCTGGGGCCTCTCCCAATGTATGGATGGTCTTGCAGGCTGACGTTTGCGTTTGACTCCTCTTTCCTGGGCACTGAAACATCACACACACAGAGCCCTCCATGTCAGCAGTTTGCAGACCATCCCAGAGAGTTCAAAACAGCTTGAACTGGAGGGAAAAAAGTCCCTGGAGTAAACCCAAAAAACAGAATCATTAAGGCCAGAGAAGGCCTAAGATCATCAAGTCCAACCATTCCTCCAACCAAGGCCACTATGAATCCATGTCCCCAAGTGCCACATCCAGATGGCTTTTAAATCCTTCCAGGGATGGGGATTTCACTACTACCCTTGGCAGCTGTGCCAGGGCTGGACAACCCTTTCAGTGAAGAAATTCTTCCTGATTTTCCAAGCTCAACTTGGTCTGGCACAACTTGAGGCTGTTCCTTCTTGCTCTGATCCTTGATCCCTGGGAGAAAAGCCTGACCCCCAATAGGGTACAACCTCCTTCCACGTATTTGTAAAGAACAAGGTTCTAAATATGGGAACTTATCTATATAGAACTAAATCTGGGATTATTAAATAAATACAGCCCTATTCCAGCCTGCAAATAAGGAAATTAGTTGGGATTTGAGAGCCTGGAAGTGTGGGACAATACTGCTTAAATGCAGTCCCTCTTGGAGCCGATTCTCCTCTCCTTTTATTCTTGCACTGACCACAGGGTGTCTCAGGAGCTTTCTTTTAGAGCAGGAGCATCGCAGAAGGTGATGCTGCCAGAGGTGCAGCACCCAGGCACTCTGTCCTTCTCTGCCAGGGTCTCCGAGGCCAGCACACATCCAACCTCCCACACAGTTTGGAGTTTTTAAAATCCAGCCATGGAATAGCTTAATATCCATCCCAATGGCGCTTATTTTACAAATATTTATATGTGTATTTTTTAAGGGGAACATCTAAAAGTAAGGGTATTTTCCCTACTGGCAATCAAATCACTACATTTTCCCCTAGTAAATAAATCTTTCCTTCTGCAGTCAAAAAAGGAAAAAAACCAAAATCACAGCTAAAGTGTATGATTATAAAAAGTGAAGCTGATTATGGCTCAATTGAGCTGAACACTGCTTCCTAGGTTGTACCAGTGGAGTTCAAGAGTGAAGTGGGAAAATTCATATTGTTTTCCATAATTATTTCAGTATGAACCCTCCAGCATGCTAGTATTGAGGCTAAAAATACATAGAACATGTGGAGTAATGTTTGTATTTATATTGGATATAAAATATGTATTGTATATTACAGATATGCCATACAAAACTATACGGTACATTTTAATATAAACAGTAAAGAATATACATTTTTTATAGTTTTTAAATATAATTATATTATAGATTAGATAATATAAGTATATATTATGATGATTTAAATTATGTAACATAAAAGCCACACAAAAATCTGTTTCTTCTGGCAGGTCAAGCCCTCAAAACTTGCAAGGTGCTGCCTCTGAACTAGTTTTTGCTGCCCAGCTCGCGTGCATATTGAAACAGTTTTTGGTGACATGCCCAGCAGCACAGAGGTGTCGACCACACCACAAGGAATGCAGCCCTGGGCTGGGCATCCCTGCACACCAGTCCCTCAGGATCAAGGATGCAAAGGAGTATCCCTAGCAAAGAGCCAGTTCTTCACCAGATGATGCTTTATTGCTTTTGGGAGACTGATCCCAGCCTGGTACCTCACCTACAGATTTTTTAGGGAGACGTGAAAGAAGGCCAAGCTCAGGGCAACTTCCCACTCTGGCATTTTCAAAGCTGGTGTTCCCCCTATGTTTTCACAAGGGTGGATTTCCCCTGGGAGGGCTGGAATCAGCGCTCAGCAGCAGACAAAGCAGCAGCAGGGAGAATTTCACCCCGAACGGAGAGCCGCGGACAAGTCGCGCACGGATGAGCGCGGGGGCTCGTACTGCAAAGCCGGGGGAAATGTTAATAAAAAGCAGAGCTGCCGACCCCACCTATAATTTAATTTAAACCTCTGTACGTAATGTTAAACCTAGCAGGATCGCTTTTCCTAATAAACACGCTGCGTGCCAGGACTGTGTAATGTAAATACAGGCACAGCTCTTTTCAGGCTGTTACCCATCTCCGGCAGCAGACGGGGAGAAACCCAATCCTCCCTGCCCCGGCAGCATCTCTGGGGAATGCGAGGGAGGTTTGTGGCTCCACCTGGAGCCACTCAGAGGCCGGGGGGATGAGGTGCTCCGTGGTGAAGCACCCCAGGGGGGATGTGGCACAGGTTTGCGAGCTGGGAGCTGGGCTGGAGGCTCGCTCTGACAGAGATCCACGCTCCGTGTGTGTGAATAACCTTAATGCAATTGCATTAGGAGAGCGATTAGGGCTCTGTGAGCTGTCACAACACAAATAATAGGAACAAATAATGTTAACCTTTCCAGCTGGAACAGTATCTCCTTGAGCACTCTGGGGTTGTCTTGGTGGAAAAGCTGAAATATTTGCAGCTTTCTCCGGCGTTCTAGCAGGGTAGAACAGCAGACTAGAAGCTGAGCAGGCTTTGTTTAAGGAAAAAATAATTAATGAGCCATTAAATGAAGTCCTGCTTCCTGTGATCAGGTGTCTGTGGGCAGCAGGAGTGGCAGATCCAGGTGCATGTAGGGTCCTTGCCAGGGGATGTGAGATCCCACTGATGTGGAGGGGAAGGGATCTGCTGGGGAGGCTGGGGCACTCCTCACCCAGGAAAATATACCTTCTCCACTTCCCCAGTAGATTTTCTCCTCCACGGTTCCTTAAAGGCAGAAACAATGCAAAGGACTGATTCATACTGAAATTCCATTTGGGAACTGCTTCCCTGCAGCCTCACTCCCAGGGGACCCCAGGAGGGACCATCTGAGCTTGCATCTCCCCAGAAGGCACTGTGGGTGCAAGTCCAATGTTTCCAGAAAGCACGGGATTCCCCACACACCCCCCTGCCCCACCCTGGGAGCAAAACGCATAATGCAAGTGGCAACACTCAGGAAATCCCAGTAGAAATCTCTTCCTACATCTCAATCACTCCAGTCTGTTTAAAAACACACTTTTTTTTTCCTAAAAGAGAGCTCTCACACCAGAGTAACGATGACAACAGCTAAGAAAACCCCACCCCAGACAAAACCAATTATCTGCACGCTATTCAAAATCCTTCCAAACACATTTAGAAACAAATCAATATTTTAAGATACCCACTTTGTTCAGGGTGTTAAAAAAGGAAAAGACCCTCCAGCACGCAGCTCTGCATGGGGTGACCCACAAGACCAGTTTTCATCAGTGGTGTTGGGGGACTGTACTGTTGGGTGAGTCCCAGTTTTTTATTGGTTTTTTTTTCTGAAGTCCCCCTACCCCTGTGCCCTGTATTTAGAAGCTGCTGAGCACACAGGGGATGTTGAAACTATCAGGTTTAGTCCTGCATTAGAAATGGGTCATGCTAGACCAGCTCTGTGTGGAGATTTTAACCTCCACCACACTGATATGACCTGTCTGGATTAAGCATCAGTACCAGACTCTCCCTGTGCCTCAGTTTCCCCAAACTAATTGAACAGCGCTGCCCTTGCCTGTAAAGGACTCTGGGAGGCCTCTGGGAGGGCTCAGCTCTGTTGTTCCTGTTACAGGGAAGGTGTCAGTGACGGATCTAGCCAGGCTATTTCCTCATCAGCAATCAGCACCCGCAGCAGCACTCACAAGGGAGCGACAAGGACCACAGGATGGGGCTGGCCAGGCTGTCCTCCAGTGCTAACCTGGGGATGCAGCACCAGCAGGAGCCAGATCCAGATTCCTGCAGGCAGGAATTATGACCATGCAGTGGCCTTTCCCCTGCAAATACCAGGGTGAGCTGGCTCACGTCGCACATGCCCGCCCGAGGCACGATGCTCGCCGCATTATAATACGGTGTCTGCTGCGTTAATGGAGGGGAGCATGGAAATTTATTTTCAGGTCAAATTCTCATCATCTGCATATCTTCCATTTGAATATTATAGGGACAGGAGAAGAAAAGACAGGCTGAATGCAGGAGCACCCCAGGTGTCCGGCCATTGTCAGGAGCTCGCCTCTGCCTACTGTGCAGATTATTTTCCTCTGGTTTTCTCACCCCAGCTTAATAGGGCTTTCTCTCACACATGCAGCCAGGAGCTGAAATACCATGCTCTTGTCAGAAAGCTTTATTATTATGGTAAAGATTGTTCTCATTAGATATTAATTATACTCAGCAAGAGCAGATCCAGGAATCTATTTGTCTCTGCTCACCGATTAAATTTGCCCAGCTTTGAAGAGCAGGGTTTCAGGCTGGAACATTAGATTTGCACAGCTAAATGCAACTTGGCAAGAGAAGTTGCAGCTGCCCCATCTCTGGAAGTGTCCCGGGCCAGGCTGGATGGGGCTTGGAGCAACCTGGGATAGTGGAAGGTGTCCCTGCCCATGGCAGGGGGTGGAACTGGATGAACTCTAAAGGCATTTCCAACCCAAACCATTCCATGATTCTGTGAGTCCAACTGTTCCCTCAGCACTGCCAAGTCCACCAAACCACATCCCCAAGTGTCACATCTACACATCTTTTAAATTCCTCCAGGGATGGGGACTCCTCCACTGCCATGGACAGACTGTTCCAGCATGAAGAAATTGTTCCTGATATCCAACCTAAACCTCCTGTGGTGAAGCTTGAGGATGTTTCCCCTTGTCCTGTCATTTGTTACTTTGGGGAAGAGACCGACACCCCAACTGCACTACTAACACATAATAATTAGGGCCACTCCAGCCCCAGAAAGCCCAGATACTGTCATGTCCAAACATGTGCAACTTGGTTTTGGTCTACACCGATGCCAAAATGTGCAAACCCAGCTAATTACATCCTGTGGCTAAACGGCCCTCCCAATTCAATGCATCTCTCAGCATATTAGAGATGAGGAAGCTTCCTTGGCTGTTTGACCATCTGTTTTCCACCTCACTCTGGTCCCACTGTGGTGAACTATGGTGGGGTTGAAAATATCCTGTTACTTATTTAAGCTTTTGTCCAGCGAGGGGATGGATCCAGTGAGCTGTGGATGTCATCCACAACCCACAAAAATCAGTAGGTTCTTTTTCACCCTCCACCCTCCCTTTCTCCCTTTTTGTTTTTTTTTTAATTTTTTTTTCCAAAGGGATAGAGATTATGCCCTGCTTTTCTCCCTACTTTTATTTTGGGAAAAAAAACCCTGATATCAGAGTTTTCTCTGATGAGTAGCTGAGAAATCAGTCCTAGGTTATGAATTGGGCCCTTCAGCCACCACCCCACCTCCCACACACAGCAGAGGTGACCAACACACACCTGGTAAAGCGAACTTCACAGATATTGCACATATAGGGCTTCTCCCCCGTGTGGGTCCTCATGTGCCTGGGCAGCTTTCCAGCTCCCATGATGACTTTGTTACAGATGGGACACTGCTGGGATGCCTTGGGCTTTATTTTCCTCTCTTCCTCCAGGGGCCACGGGGGAAAAACTCCTCCGAACTGGGTAGCGCTTAGGAAATTGAGATAAGCACTGTAGTCAGTCTCTGCCTTAATATGCCCTAAGGGAGCTGCTGGGGTGTTGGCAAACATATCCTTGAAGAAGTCATTAGGGAAAGGAGGCGGAGGCAGGTCTTCCTTCTCCTCCTCTTCCTTGATCTTCCTCTTTTTGATCACCAGATCCAAGGGGCCGTTGTCTACTTGTGGCTCCTCAAGCTGGGTGAAGGAGTTGAAGTCACCATTCCACAGATGGGGGAAGAAGCTGGGGGCGAAAGGAGACAGAGCTGGCCTCCTTTCCGGGATGTTTGCCTTAGGGTACAAATTTTCACTCAGCAAGGACTCTATGGAGAAGTCTCGTATCATGCCCAAGTGTCCAGAGGAGTTACTGGCTGGGAAGTGATTTGGAAAATCTTTAGGTGCTTCTGTATAAGCTTCTTCGGTAAGATCGGACTCAGAAGGGCTTTGGTGGCAGCTTACTTCTTGTACATCAGCTAGGTTCTCCTGATTGACAAAATCTTCCACTTCCTCCTCCTCCTCTTCCTCCTCATCTTCATCTTCATCTTCATCGTCATCGTCGTCCTCTTTGTCATCTTCCTCCTCGGCCTCTCTGTCGGGCTCCATGATTTCAAGGCAAACGTTGATGATGCTCTGGATCTCCAGCATCTTGGCGGCACTGAGGATGTGCTTGACGTTTGAGGTGGTGATGGTGAGGGTTGAGGTGTAGGCAAACTCGAGGATGGCAGAAAGTGCTTCAGGCTTGACAAAGTCAATCTCGTAAACATAGGGCTGGTCTGTTAAAGTGCCGGTAGTGAAGAGTTTTTTGAAGTACTTGCTGCAGGCAGCCAGGACGGAGCGGTGGGTGCGGTACTCCTGGTCCTGGACGATGAGGATGACATCGCAGAGGAGCCCGTCGTGCCGCTGCTCGTTTAAACCACACAGGACCTCGCTGCTGTGGTTTGGGAATGGGATCCCGATAAGATCTTCAATGCCATTGGCCATATTCTCATCTAGTGCCCTAGGACAAAGCAGAGCAGAGGGTTAGCAGGGGATTCCTGAGTGATAATGCCAAAACGATGCTGCCTTCTCCCAGAGACCCTCTCTCCAGTACCTCATCTGTCATCACCTCCTGATTGCACTGTCTCAGTGCATCTCTAGGCCACCTTTAGCTCCTTTCAGATCCTCTGTGACTGGACCTGTCCTTCCCTCCCCATCTCTTCATCTCCTTCTTTGTCCTCATCCTTCTTGATTCCCATAGTGTTCACCTTTTCACAATCACCACAAGCTCCTTCTTCTCTTTCACACCCCTCCTCCAGGAACTTTGTGCAATGACTCCTTCCCCATCACATTTCTTCTACATCCTCCTGGAGCCAGCATTGTTCCAGGAACATGTTGGATTTGGCCTGCCAGGAGCTATGTGGGGAAAGTGTGATGCTGTATTGCTTCACACTGCCAAGAGCCAGCACCTACACTGCTTGAACAAGATGAGCCAGGGAGTGCCCATCTGATCTACGTGGTTGTTTTTGGGGCTGGTACAACTGGACATCCCAGACAGGAGGGTCATTGCTTCCTGCTGCAGTAGGAGAGCTATCCTCATGGATCTTCAGTTCTGCTGCTGTATGCCTGGGAGCTATGACATGTCACCTCACTCACATGGGGACAAGCCACATAGGAATGTCTTTCTGAGGGATTTGGGAATGGGGAGGAAAGCAAGGATTTGTATCACAGTGTGTACCTAACACTCAGAGGAAGACAACCAGCAAGGACCTGACCAGACACAGACTGTTCTCTGCCATCTCTTTCCATGAGCTGAACGCTCTCCATTCCCAATCCTGCTTGGACTTGTCAGCAGGGTATCAAAATGCCCTGTGCATCTGGCAGACATCTTCCCCTGACAGAGCAGCTTTAGCTTCAAAGAAAAACTCAGAAGCAAAAAGCCCACACCCAAGAGGAAAACCTGATTTTATTTCCTCCCCCCCACCCCCATTTTTTAATGTGTAAGATGTTTCCTCTTTCACATGGCTCCAGCAGCCCCTCCACATGAGAAATCCCAGGAAAGGAAAGTGATTTCCTCCAGCAGGCGACGAATACATTAATCCCCTCACGGACAGAATACATCAAACAGACAGAATAACTTTGAATATACTAACCCTTGGAAACCCCCAGGACACAGAGCATGTGTTCATGCAGTGTCACCTCTACCAGCCCCGGCCCTGCTGCAGGTGGACACTCGGTTCACAGCCAAGGGACAGAGCAGTTCATCTCCAGGAGAACTCAGGGGATGTGAAAGCAAAGCTGCAGCCGCACTCCATCCCTTCAGCAAGGCTGACACCACCAGGCAGGCTCCCCAATTCCACACCACCTCTGCAGCTCTCCTGGGATCCACTGCCATGTCCTGGGTGTCCTTCCCTGCTCAGTTTCTGGCTCTGCTGATTCCAAACCTCCTTCCAAACCACCAGTGGGGACCTGATTTACTTCACCTGGCTCCCACCCTCCCAGCTGCCTCGGGGATGGAAAGAGCCTGGTCTGATGGAGGCTGTCCATGAAAACCTGTGTTTCACCTTGGCCAGCAACCCCTGGGGAAGCCTGAGGGGCCCGTAGAGGGGATCAGACTCTGCAGGAAACGTTCCCGTGGGAAAAGGAAGGCTGTCTCCCTTTTCCTCCCTCCCCAGGGAGACCTTGCAGGTATCTCCCCCACACCTAACCAGCACTGCCAAAAACGGGCGTGTGGGAGCCCGAGAGTGAAGGTCTTGGAGGATGGTGCAGCCTAGAGGGAGGTGATGGGCCACAGGCCTTTGGGGAGCAGCAGGGACAGGGGACAGCTGTCCATGGTCACTGAAGCCTGTCCATGGTCACAGCACAGGGGCTGGAGGGCAGCCCCAGCCATGGGAAGCCCTCTCCAGCCGCCTTCCCCTGCCCAGAGCTGGGCAGAGGAACCAGGAATTGCACCCAGCTCCAGCCACCGACGTCTCCAGTGCAGGGAGGACGCTCCAGCCCCCCATCCCTCAGTGTGCCCATTACCTCCACGCTAATTACGTCTGTTGTCTGAAACAAATTGATTCATTACAGTGTGCTGTGCTTAACCATGTTAACCAGCAATGCTCCTCTGCGATCCCGACCAGCTCCATATCAAATCCTCCTTGAAAATCGCCGATAAATGACAATAAATCCAATACCTTCTCCTAGTGGAGTGTCAGATAATAAATAACCCCTGAGCCAGGGAGGAAAAGACAGCTTCCTTTCTAAGGCTTTGTATCCCGAATAATAAGCGTGAGCAATTAAATTTCTATTGCTGTTTTTATCATCTACTCGTTTATTTTTGTTTGGAAGAAGCCTGAGTGTTAAAGGAGCTTCTTGCATGAAGGAACGTGTCTTCCTATTTTGATCTTTCACTGCCAGATCACGCTAAGTGCCAAAAATCAGAACAGCAGAATATTACACTACCCTGAGAAATGTTTTTATAGAGGGTTTTTTCTGGACACTAAGCTTCATTCTCCCTAATTAGTGGATTAGTCACTAGACAGCAAGAAAAATTAGAATTGGGAGATCGGGGTGTGATTATAAACATAGTTACATATAATTTATATGTATAAAATACATTAAAAAAATTACGGGGTTTTGGGAGAAATGAGCTGGTTTTCCTTTCTTATCCTTCCCTGGTCCTTCTGAGATGTGTTTCTGTTAACTGCAGCGTTTAGGCAAGCCGATAACTTTACAGGATGCTGGCAAAATTGAAGGTGATTCATGTCATTTAAACCGGGGGTGAGGGGGGAGAGGGAGAGAAACAGCCCATTCATTTGCATACATTTGCATTTTTTAAACTCTCAGGGTGGCTTGACAGCTCTGGAGCTCAGCGAGCTTGAGAAATGACCTTATGGTTCCCATGCCCCCGGGGAGGTTGATGGCCAGAGGCTGGAAGTGTGCTGAGGCTGACGTTTTCCTTCCTTCCCCTCCCTCCTCTCCCTCCTCCTGCGCTCCCCCCTTCCCCTCCCCAAGCCAAGGGTGGGGTCCTCAATAATAACAGGCTTAAAAATAGCATCTGATGGTGACAAATGTCACCAGTGCATGCACACACACACACACACATGCAAATGCTGAGCAGACGACATGGAGTTAAACAGCAAAATCCCATTTTATAATAGAAAATTACAGCATTGTTAAAATAAACTGGAGGGAGATGGTGGAAAGGGTGGAGGGCACCTAAAATAAACGTTTTCTGCAGATGACGTTGTGAAGCGTTGCATTTATGGTCATGCTTAAAACTCATTCATTACTTTCTTGCCAGAAAAAGCCCCACTTATAAAAAAAATGATGGTGGGATACTGAACTGCTTCCCCCATATTCTGCAAACAGATTAAGACACCTGAAGCTGCAACAGGAAAAAAAAAGGTGTTGGGAGAGCTACGCTTTGTCCCCTTTTTGGATGAAAAACTCCAGACACAAGCCAGGGTCTACAGCAATGTCATAAACCATCTGCAATGTGCACTCCCTGGGTGACCCAAAGCTCATCCAGGCACTCTGCTGCTCAAAAACCCCTTCTATTTATTCTTTTTTTTTCTTTTTTTTTTTTTTTTCCGCAATAATCTTTATTCTCCAACCTCCTTCACTATAATACTGAAGGATCTCAGCATTTCCAAACCAGCAATGTAAAACTGAAATATCAGAGAGAAGGTGAAATGCTCATTTTAGCACCGTGGTAAGCAAAAAACCAGAAGTACACTCAATAGATTATAAAGACATATGCACAGAAAATAGATAAAGCAAACTCGTACTGCCTCTACTCATTTGTAGGGGTGGAAATGGAGCTCTGACACAGCTCGGAGCAGCCCTGGAAAGATGTGCCAGCCCTGGGGAGGGACAGGATCCTGCCCCCGGGTCTCAGTGTTGCTCAATGGCAGGAGCAAGAGACCTGTGACCTGTGAGGGCTCTTCACCAGCACTTCCCTTTCCCATCTCCTTCCTCACCCGCGGTGACAACGCCCTGAAAAGCCGAGCCCTTGGAGGAGATAAAGGCTGCCAGGGAGAGCCCAGGCTTGTGCGACGTGTGGCTGCTGGTTCAGGGCTGTGCCAGGAACAGGGGATGTCCCCTTCCCATCCACGGGGACAGTGCTTCACAACCTGAGTCTTGGCTGGGAGATGGCAATTTTGGCTTTTAACTGTATGTTGGCACGTAACGTTATTGCCGTAACACGCGGCGTTTCAATATTTTAATACTCTAATATTTCAATATATTAATATTCTGGCACATAAATATTTTATTATTTGTATATTTTAGGTATTTATAATTTTGCATTAATATTGTATATATTCATATTGTATGTGGTTTTATTTTATATTTTGATATTCCTATCGGGATTTTTTCTGAGCATCTCCCTTTAAAATGTGCATTGCTTGGCCTTCTCTTTGCTATGATTTTCCCTCAGGAAAGTGCTGGCTCCTGACTGTAATTCTTTTTTCTGTGCCTACAGTGACTCTGTGGGAGTGCCCCCCCAAGATATGGGGGTGCCCCAGGGCAAGCAGGGGATGCAAAGCAGCTGCCCCCCCATGCCAGGCTCATTCTGCATTCAGCACAGCGGAGGAAGGAGCCTGAGGCTCTGGCTGATCTCTGCCTGCTCCTGGTGTCAAAATGTCATTTTTCCAGGCAAAACAAGGTGTCTCCAGTTCTTCCCTTCACCCAGCCTATGTGTGCAAAGGGATTCAGGGTGCAAGGCCAGGGGCAAGGCTTGGGGTTTAGCATCCCTGACCACTGCTCCCCCATCCCAGCCAGCTGCTGGTCCCTCTCCTGAGTGTCCCTCTCTCCTTGCTGCCACAAAACCATAGCAGGACTTCCAGCTTTACCTCTGAAGCATGAGACCACACAGCAAACCATCCCAGAGGTATCAGAACCAGGCTTTGGGGTTGCTGCAGCTTTTGGAGGTGCAGCTCCAGCCCAGGCTGCTGACCCTGTCAGGAGGGGGAGTCAGAGAACCACAGAATTATTCTCAGAATGGTTTTGGCTGGAAGGGACCTTAAAGCTTGT